CGTGGAAGTTACACACCTTTGGATTGCATTTCGCCGTCACCTTCTCCCCCACCCCACCTCCCGGCTCGCGCTCGATCGCTCCCCCCACGCTTTCCTCTTAGCTTTTGTAAGTTACACGTCAAAATGGCCGATCTGACATCGGTGCTCACTTCTGTTATGTTTTCTCCCTCTAGTAAAATGTTTATCGGTGGACTGAGCTGGCAGACCTCACCAGGTAAGGGAGGGAGGGGGGGACGCCTGGGTCCCCCCCTTCTTGGCTTCTTTATTGCTCTTTGTTACCCCGGTGTAGGAGCCCCCCCCCGCCATTGGCTCCCCACTTCTCCTGTGCAAGGTTATTTTTTTAAATAGCAAATCCTTTCCGAGCCCTCTACGCGACCTCTGTTGCCGAATTCCCCCCGCGTGTGCAGAAAATGCAAAAACAAGACAGAATAACAACAGAAAACTACTTTTGGTTTTTGTCCTTGATCAAAATTTGCATTGCTTTTTTTTTTTCCTCCACACCTTCTCCCCCCCCCCCATCTCTCTCTTTCTCTCTCTACAGATAGCCTTAGAGACTATTTTAGCAAATTTGGAGAAATTAGAGAATGTATGGTCATGAGAGATCCCACTACGAAACGCTCCAGGTAAACCATTCCCTTCTGCGTTTTGTCTTTATTTTAGAGCAAAGTTTAAGTTTTATTTTTGGAGGTGTCTTCGGAAGTAGCTAAGCGGATTAGAATGGGGCTCAGGCGCGTGGCTGATCTCGAACTGCGTTCTGTTCCCCCCTCCGCCCCCCAATAACCCCAGAGGTTATTGTTAATTGGGGCTGAACTCTGGATACAGAGATACCCATCTCTCTGCTTTAATCATTTTCCCGTCGCTTCTTTTTCTCTGTTTAAAATGACATCCAGCTTTATTCACTTTTCGCATAGTTTTAAGATTTTTAAGAATGTATGCTCCCCCCACACTCCCGGCTCCCCAAACTCTTAAGGCCCCTCTTTAGAAAGGTGGGTGAATCTCTTCTGAGTGCCGGGCTTTCTTCGGAATAAAACAAAGCGTTAAGAAAGGGAAGGGAGGAGGAGAGGAAACTGAGGTGGCCAGAGTGGAGGCACCAGCATTTTCCAAGTTACCTCCACCCGCTCAGCCCCCGGTCCACTTCCCCCATTAACCTTAGTGATTTTTCTTGCGAGGTGGAGGGCTGTAGGCCGGAGGGCGACTGGGGGAGGGGAGTGGGGATGGGGGCGCGTGAGGGGGGCAACTTTTGCCCCCCATTCAGCTTTAGGGCTCACTCCTTGTGGCTTTCAATGGTGTCACATTTTCTTGTTTGTTTTTCTCCCTCTTTGTCTCCTTTCAGAGGCTTCGGTTTCGTCACGTTCGCAGACCCAGCAAGTGTAGATAAAGTATTAGGTCAGCCCCACCATGAGTTAGATTCCAAGACGGTAGGTTGCTTTTTGTTGTTGTTGTTGTTTGCCCCTTTTCAGGAACGACCTGGGCATTGACAGCCCTATTTAAAGGGACAGCGCCTTCTTTTGCTTCTATGCTAGAACTGTTTTAAACCGAGCTGGCAAGTTGGCTCGAAAGTTTTCAGCGGTGTCTGGGTTTGGGGTTTTCTTTTTAGAGCCTGCCCCACTGCAGCTTCAGATGCTGCCAAGCTTAGGGTTTCCGGGAGGGGGTTCGGCTCGGGAAAGGCTATCTTCTTGGCCAAGGGATCGTGCAGAGAAACTCCACCAGAGAGCAAATGCAACTTTTCTTTGTGAGCCAAGCACAGCACGCTTTTCCAACCGTGACTATGGGAATCAGTTTTTAGAAGGCACAGCCCGCTTCACGGCTCAGGTGGACAGGGGTGGGGGAAGGAGGGGAGGGGGCGCTAATTACAGGTCCCGGCAACAGGTTCCTCTTGGGACACTTGATTTGGAAGGCATTTGAGAAGGGAAGGGGGCGCTGGCACAGCCAGGCCAGGCATCCAGTGGGGGTGACTCCAGATGGCGTGAAATCTAAGGCCGATAAGGCCTGGGGTTTCAAAGTGATTTTTTTTTTTCTGCCTTTTCTTTCTCAGATCCTTTCATTTAAGTGTGGGTACTTTTATAGCATTAGAAGTTTTAAAAATTTAGAAAGTCTCTTGGTAGAGGTGAGAAGAAGGGAAGAAAGTGTCTGTATGTAATAATAATTTTAATAGCGTGTGTGAGGGGGGATTTTGCAGTGTTTTATTTAGCCCTTTGTGGGCTTCCTGCCTCTCCTCCCTTCCCTTTATGTCTCCCAGAATTTTCCCACAGTTTTTATATATCTGTCTAGAGCAGGAGCCCTAAGATGACATTGGACTGTAGGGCTGGGCCGCGTGGAACGTCTGTCACTTGTCTGTGGTGGGGTAGTGAGACAAGGCCAGAGATGGGGTTCTAGTCCCAGCTGCCCGTTATGAACTTGGGCAAGTCATTCGCTGCCTCTGGGTCTGTTTCCTTGTCTGTGAAATAAATGGACTGAGGTGATCTTTCAAGTCCCTTTTGGCTTTAGCATTGAATGAAAAGAAGAGAAAAAAACCTGGCAACCTTTGGTGTACTCAAATTGATTTTGCAAATTCACCCTCTTTCTCTGATCAAAGAGATCAGGTGCCCGCCCCTCGGGAAAAGACTTCCCCACACTTTTAGTTGCTATATTAATTGTACTGGACTTGTCATAGCTTGCAGCCCAGCCTTTTTGTACTTTTAGATTATAATTTAATTTTGGGAATAATCATTGTAGGGTGATGATGGATGTCTGAGAAATTTTTCTGTCCTTGACTTCTTGGCTAGACATTTCAAAAAGCTGGTAAAGATAAAGAGGAAAGTCATTTCAAGGCAAACTTGGGACTTTATTATCCACCCCATCTCCCTACCTGGGTGGGAGAAACAGTATCTGGTTTTTGTGGTGCCTGGTGGGTCTGTCCTTCAGTATCAGGTGTGAAGCCTACAGTTACCCCCCCCCCATTGTTTGTAGCCATGTTTTAGTTGCTATTCTTTAGTGTAACCTAGCTTTTGACTTTGTTTCAACGTTCAGTGCAGGAGGCAGAAGCGGTTGGTTTATTGACATGGAAACGAGGATCTTGTTTACCGTTACCTTAAAAGCTCTGTTTAGGTAACGGCCATTCACATCCAAAATAGTACCCTAGTCTTTTCCTAGAGGACTTGTAGATACAGTAAGTAGAGCTGTACCTAACTAACTAATGTTTTAATTTTTCGTAGTTTTCTTTTTTGTTTGTTTTTTTAAAAAAAAAATAGTTGACAGGGATGTGCAAAAGGTTGGGATTTGCCATGCTTTCCTTGACCCCTCCTCTCCGAGATCTCATCGTGTAAACTTTGCACACGGAAGATCGTAGTATAATGCGCTGATATCGCCACACACAACACAGGAGTTCTCAATTGGCTTTTTAGTTTTGTGATTTTAGTTTTATTTTTTATTTTTTAGTGCTTCACTTTCTTCATTGCACCCTACTCTTAGCTCCCGGCCCCTCCCTTGACATGTCCCTCACCTGTTACCCTACAAACAAGGTGATTTCTGATCGCAAATGTGTGCTGGCCAGCTTAAAAAAAAAATTCTCTGAGTGTTTACGAAAAGACACCTCTGTCTTATGTTTGGTCAACAGAATGGAAAATCCACACCTGTTGTATTTCTCTTGTAGACAAGCGCTAGTCAGTGCTGGACACACCTGTAGATGCAGTAATGTTAATCTTTACGAAAGGGTAGTTTCTAGATCAGAGATTTTTGTCTATTTTAGTTTTTGAAAAAGTAATCTCTCATTTCTCAGGTGATGTTTAAAGGTAAGAAATACAATGCAGACTTTCATTAGGTCTTTGCACTTACCTTGCTAAGAACAGGCAGTCCTTGGAAGTCTTACTGGCTGGGGTCCTAGCCGTTGTAAGTCAGGGAACAAATGAACTGTCCTCTGTGGTGTACCTCCCACCCCCACCTCCATGCTTTTCCCTAAAACATTATTCTTTTTTTTTTTCCCCTGTGGCAGAAGTGAAAACAAGGTTCAGATTTACTTTTTAAGAGGGAAATATTTTAATATGAAAGCCAAAGCCTATAAATAAATAACTTGTAGCAATGTTTATGCTATGCTTCGTGTTACATTTTTACCCAAAGATTTGGGACATTTAGAAACTGAATGAAAACCGGCAATGGGAATATTTAAAAAAAAATTTTTCCCTCTCCTCTTTAACTATGGGATCACTTTTTCCCTCTCAAACCAGCCTGTTTGATCCAGATGCTTCTATGGGAATTGTTTTGAGTTGTAAAGCTAGACCCTGATGGAGAATCATGTGCTCTGCAAGTGTCTGATTTGGAGTGGAGGATGGAGGATGTTTTTCCATTTGGATTGAGGTTGGGGTAGGGAAATCCCCTGATCGTTGCACTAGATCCTGACTTCTTTCGTTCAGTATTTTTTTGCCCTCTCCCTATAATGGGCTTTCTATTCTAATTTGGGTTTAGGTTGCTCATGGATTTTTACTCTGTTGTTTTTAAAATCCAGGAGGATTTAGCTCATGTGCTTCCTTTTATTTTCTTTTATTATTTTTTATCTTTTGAGGCATGACTGCAGAACAAGTGAGCTTTTTGATTAGTCCTGGGTAACTTTACTTTTGCAAAAACAAATGATTTAATTCAAGCAGAGCATTGTGTTGGATGTCGATGGGGGAAAGTTTTGGACATTGATTTTTGGTTGGGGGGGGATCAGGGTCTCATTGTGTCACCCACGCTGGAGTGCAGTGGCATGATCATGGCTCACTGCAGCCTTGACCTCCTGGGCTCAGGTGATCCTTTTTCCTCAGCCTCCTGAGTAGCTGGGACTACAGGCGTGTGCCACCACGCCCAACTAATTTTTCTGATTTTCTTTTTTTTTTTTGGTAGAGACAGGATCTCACTATGTTGCCTAGGCTGGTCACAAACTCCTGGACTCAAGCAATCCTCACGCCTTGGCTTCCCAAAGTGTTGGGATTACAGGCATGAGCCACCATGCCCAACTCGATTTTTAAAATGTTTGGAACCCCTTTCCCCTCTTGTGTTTAGTTATTATCAGGGAGAATAAATACCATCCAGTTACCTAGTGTTAGAAAATACATTTAATTTTCAGGTTATAATATTTTTCCAATGATAATGATTTTCTCCCAGCCACACATTGCAAATTAGATGCAAGTAACATTTAATATTCAGTGTCTGGAAGAAGAAGTCCTTACCTAAATAAGAATGTATAAACTATGGTTTATCAAGAGCATTATACACTGAAAAGCATAGTGGGACATTTCAGAAAGGTCAGCTGTATTAGTTACATTTTCGGAGGGATGGTTAAAGTTGAGATTAAAGTTTAAGGAACTTTTGAATTGCCCAAGAAGTTACTAAAAGCTGAGTTATAAGCCTGAGAAATGAGTGATTAATAATTAGGTGATTGATCATATACTTTTTCTCTCCTCAAGTGCTTCATTGACTCCTGCTTTTCTGTTTTTTCCCAGATTGACCCCAAAGTTGCATTTCCTCGTAGAGCGCAACCCAAGGTAAGTAGGAGAACCAGCGATAGGATTTTAGCACTCAGAGATGGTTGCCAAGGATTTCAAGTTTCAAATAGAGCATTGCCATGAACTGTTGAAACCCAGTATACGCCTTTCCTTCAGGGTATCAGCATGTGATGGTGAAAGTTCAGGCAAGGAGTTTTGTGAGATAACCATACATCTCCAAGTTAGCTCTTAAAATGCTTAAAAAATAAATAGAATACACATAGTAATATTGCAATGGACGGAGCCACATCCTCCCACTAAGGATCAGACTTGTCTCTGCTCCCAGTTGTATGCTGGTGTCAGGTTGGTTGAATAAATCACAGCACACTTGAAACCAGCAGTGCTTCTTATTTGTGCAAGGGCTGGTGCCTGGGTGGAGAAGTTCTGAAAATGTTGTAACCTTGTAGGAGTGGTACTACAAGACTTGCTTTAAGAATCGAGACAGGGCTTCACTTTTCTAGAAGTGTGTAGTTAACATAGTTTTCACTGATCTTGCCAGGTGTGGCTGTGAGAACACAGCTGCGTGAAGCCTAAGGTTACATTTGAAGGGCTTATGGCTGACATGTGAAATGTACACTTTTTAGTTATGCTTTTTTCTTCCGTATAACATTGGAAGAAGAACTTTTTCTGCATCTTGTGGATTTGACACTCTTTTAGGGAAAGGGGGGAGGAAGTTAAAGCTTCTGATTGTACGACATAAAGGGAAAAGGCTGTGGCTTTAGCAAATTCAGTTTATTTTTTTAAACATAGTCTCCCAGAAGTGGAACTCTTTAATTGTGTAAAGGGAGGAGTGGTTTTGCACATTAATGTAGAAAAAAATTGGCTGTTGTGGATGATGTTTTGAGAATTTTAGGTCTGAAGCCTAAAATTTATTTTAGGGCTGATTTATTTCCTTCCTTCCTTCCTTTTTTCCCTCCTTCCCTTCCTCCTTTCTTCTTTGTTTCTTAAGAAGGAAACACAAGTCTTTAAGTAAATATAGTGAAATATTTTCTCAAGGTACATTTTTTCTAATGCTTAAGTAGGTGATAGGAGTTAATGAACGAAAGAGATTAGACTGTTTGCATACTTAGTACAAACTTTGGGACTGGTCTAACCGTCTTAGTTGCTTCCCAGACTGTGTGCGATCCTTCACATTTCAGAGGGCTTCCCAGAATTAGCAGTATTTCCTGGGTTTGGAAGCATTGCTGTTTCTTCCATAAGTGTGAATCTTCAAATTTCCAGGTTAGTCATTTGATCACTAAGCACTTGGATCAGATTACCCTAGAGGGAAACTGGAAAAATCCCTGACTTGGTCAAACCATGGGTTTGACCTGTTTTCCAGTCCTGCTTTTGTTCCCTTCCCCCAGTTTTGTTTTTAAACTAGGAAAGCAAGATTTCACTTTAATATACTCTGCAGTGATGCATTCAGCTTGAAAACGGGACAGAGGATTTCTCAAACTTCTCAAAGTGTGCATTCCTCCCCTAACCCCACCCCCAAGTCTGGGATGCTTACAGATGAATTGACACTTCTAGATGTGAGTTAATATTAAACCAGTTGGGAGAGAACATCTTGCCATGGAATTCTAGGGATTTAATAGTAATACTTCTTACTTTTTTTTTGAGTTGGATCTCACTCTGTCGCCCAGACTGGAGTGCAGTGGCCGCTCCCGGCCACCGCAGCCTCACCTGCTGGGCTTTGGCGATCCTTCCGCCTCAGCCTTCCGAGTAGCCGGAATTACAGGCGCGTGCTACCACGCCCGGCTGATTTTTTTGATTTATTGTAGAAATGATATACTTCACTTTATAAGGGACTTTGCTATTTATTATCTCCATCTGAATTCCAGCTCCTGGGGCATTTGACTGTTGTTCCTGAGTAAATCCCTGTCAGTCTCAGTTTCCTCATCTGTAAAATGGGAGGGATGACAGTAGCTTCCTCAGAAGGTTATTGTGAAGAATAAAAGAAATGCTATGTGGCAAGGGCCTCACAATTCGTCATCATCATCACCACTTTTGTTGTTGGTTTACACATCCTTGTTGTGAGTTGAGTTCAGATGCTGACTGCCACTATGTAGCGGTGTGAATTTGGGCAAATTGTTTGACTTCCCTAGCCCTCGGTTTCCCCGGCTCATAGAGTTTTTCTTCAGATTAAATAAACTGATACAGTTTAAGTGCTTGGAAAAGAAGACCTGGTACATGGTAGTACCATAAAGTGTTACCTGCTATTTTTACTATTATTTTGTTAGACTTTAACAACAATCCTATGAGACGTCGAGTAATAATAATGATATTAGCTTAATGTACATGCCAGGTACTGTTGTATTCATGTATATTAATGCATTTACTCCCTAGTCAACCTAATGAGGTGAGTACTGGTATTAGCTCAGTTTTTTGTTTTGTTTTGTTTTGAGTTGGAGTCTCACTCTGTCACCCAGACTGGAGTGCAGTGGCTGCTCTCAACCACCGCAGCCTCAACCTGCTGGGCTCCGGCGATCCTTCTGCCTCAGCCTTCCAAGTAGCTGGAACTACAGGCACGCGCTATCACACCCGGCTAATTTTTTGATTTATTGTAGAGATGAGGTCTCGCCAAGTTGCCCAGGCGGGTCTCGAACCCGCAGGCTCAGGCAATCCACTCACCTCAGCCTCCCAAGGCACGGGATTACAGGCTGAGCCACGGAGCCCGGCTTAACTCAGTTTTATAGAGGGGAAAACTGAGGCACAGATGAGGGCTCCAAGAGCCACACAAACTGGACTCTTTACTAGTGTGCCATCTTGTGGGGGTGCCTTGGGGGTGTGGCCCCTCTGTCACAGAACAGGAGACAAGTTCAGAGAGGTCAGTGGACTGTGCTAAGCACACCCACAGCCAGAGGCTCAGGGCTTTGAAGTTTTGTGTTCTGGGGCCTGGGTGAATCGCCTTCCCCTGGGATGTTATCCCAGCCTGTGACACTGTCTTGTCATATCTCTCCATCTGACTCCTCAGGCCATCCTTTCAGATGATTCTGGAGTTGCTCAATCCCAGTGAGGCAACCAGGTAATTGCCAAACTTTTATGGTGGTTAGGAATTGAGATAGGGTGGGGGAAGAAGAAAACGCCTTCCATGTCTATGGCTATTTTGCAATAGAATTTGAGCCTGACCACCAGGATATTGGACTGGAATTAATGCCGGGGGCCAAAACCTGGCTGGTAGGAGTATAGAACTTTAAATCAAGCTTTATTTATGTATGGTTGGTCTTCCTCAATTAAACTTATGTGTCATTGTGTGAGGGTCACAGTGGCAGGGTGCACCATGCTCCTTCTTGTGGACTGGGTGAGGAGCTTGTAAATGATATGTCAGCATCAGTGAAAATGCATTTCTCTGCTTTCTGGCTGTCCCTCCTTGCTAACACTCGCCAGAGAAATATTCCATGGAGGTGTTAAAACAAGACTAGTGGAAAGAAACGGCAACTTAATGCGAAAGAAAATCTGTGGCAGTGAAGAATAGATTTCATATTAGTACTGTCATAATATTCTTTAATGTATCATATAAATAAAAATCTGTTTTGACCAGAATTTTAACGAGCGACGGAAGGAAGGGTTTTGAATCTTGCGGTTTATGTACCCCCCCTTTGCGATGTCCACATCTGAAGCGAAGTATGATAGGACTGTATTAACTAATTGAGGGGTGATTCTTTGGAGACTAAGAGCCGTTAATTAGTGAAGTACATTTTGATTGAAAGAAGATAGGTCCATTCTATGTCTTCCTATTTCTCTGGATGATTATTTCATTTTGTAAAATATGTAAGAGTTTCCCCCTTATCTTCTTAAAAATTAAAATGGTCATGCTACTCTAAAAAGATGACTTCATTTGAAGCCGTTGGAGGGATGATGACAGGGATCGATCGTTCTCAATCCTTTCTTTGTTCCCTTTGGGCCAAAATGTTGACTGCCTTGAAGGGTTCTGTTCAAGCTTGTGGTTCTTTTTTTTTGTGTGGAGGAACCAGGAGACTCCTTAGCATCTTTCGGCAAGAGTGAGGTTTGGGTGTAACTCACCATCTGCCCTAATTATCCTTGTGTAGAAGAAAACGTTTCCCATTCCTCCCAACTATCTTTTCCCTCCTTAAGTTTTAGAGGCCAGAACCTTATCTGTCGATCCAGGGAGATCTCATTTCTTCACCTTATTTCCAGTTGCCCTCTGTCACAGCTGGGTGGCCAACTCAGTTTCCTCCTCGGTAAAAGAGGGATAATGTGGTATCTACCACCTGGAGTTGTCTTGAAGATAAATGAAAAATTCTTTGCCAGGAGCCTGGCACAAAGTAGCACCCAGCAAATGTCTGCTGATATTTTCAATATAGAATTATTTTAACAGAATAAGAAAAACTGCAATGGTGAAACCACCTAAGAAAAACCTTAATTGGAATGTAAGCTCCCTGACGGCAGGCAGCTGTTGATGGTTGGTGTTCAATAATTAAATGAACGAGTTGAACCCAGCCTACCTTCTCCACAGCGAAGTTCCGTTCGTTGCTCCAGGTCACACAGTTAAGTTGCTGCAGGGCTGAGCTGGAAGCCAGGTTTTCCTTTTCCCATCTTGTCCTCTGAAGTGGCTTCAGGGCCCTGGAAGATTCTCTGCTCAGCATGCATCCAGATGGGTGCAGTGGCAGCTGGAGCATTGACACGCACACCTCCTGTTCCAGGGGAGTGGTTTCTTGGCAGCTTCTCAAGGGCGAAGGGTGAGTTTTCTGCATCTGGCCTTCTTTTGCTGCCATGGGTCGGGTCATTCTAGCATCTTGCCATCTTGGATGATCCGCAGCTGTCATCTCGGCAGCCACTGTTAACCGACCTGCCAGTGGGTTTTCTCGTTCCCCGCGAGGATGTGGTGGTGTGTCTGCAGCCCTTTTCACATTGGCAGGGACCTTGGAGGATTAGTGGCTTAGCTTCTTTCTTGTCGGTTAGCACCGCTCCTTCCTGCGTTCCAAGTCAGTAGCAGGTGTCAGCTCATGGAGGAGGGGCACCTTGTCCTACAAATGTCCTTTCTCTAGATTTTGCCTTTTCTCACATGCTTTTGTTTCATTGTTAAGGTCAGTCTCCTAGGACGATGAAGCTCCTATATTCTGTGTCAGATGTTTTTTGGCAGACAGGTGAGCCTCCTCTGTGGACCAGGAAGGCGGGGGAGGAGGAGGAGGACGACGACGGCAGTCTCCGAGGAACCTGCTGACCATCCTGGGTGCCCCTTGA